GCGTGCGTGCGTGCGTGCGTGCGTGCGTGCGTGCGTGGGTGTGTGTGTGTGTGTGCGTGTGTGTGTGTGTCTGTGTGTGTTCAAGCCTGTTGCCAAGGGCATGCTTGAGATTTTGAAAAAGCAGGGGGCGCAGGTGCAATCAGAAAACTCCTGTGCCAACGAAGACGGTTGCTGATTGCAGGAAAACGTCCCTGCAAGAGGAGCACTCCTGCGCTTCGGTACAAGTTTGGGGGGTTCCTCTAGCAAGTCCCCTGCGCACAGGGATGCAGCTGGGATGTCGTCATTTTCTACTGGCATCAACGAGGCCAGTTCCAGGTCCGGTCTCGGACAGAGAGCTTGGCTTTGTCCAGACATGACCAGAGGTTGGAGGCTGCGGATTACACAAGTGTGTTCCAGGTTGCAGGGTTCATCTCTGCACTGGTTTTCTTGGGTTGGGGTAGCCCGGGCTCATTCCTGCCAGCTCCTGTTAAGTGGCACGGCTCGATCCATTTGGATCCACCACCGGTCCACCGGTTCGAACAGGTCATTGTTTGCATTGTTTGGGTCTCACAGCATGTATGCTCATGTGATTTTTGAGTGTGTGTTGCTCCTGGAGGCCATCTGTTCGGACGTCATGGTTAAACTCTCTTAAACTGCTTGGTCTCTCTGCATGTTCATTCATAAGGCCCTTGAGAGAGTGTGTTGGTTGTGGAGGCGGCCGAGAAATCCCAGGACTTCTGCCACGTTTGATGGCAAACCATCCGTCTAACTCAGTCTGATCAAACACAGGCTTTTCATCATGCAGCTGAAACAGATCTTCTGTAAGCTTCTTTAAAAAGAAACCGTAAACCCTAAACCCTAAACCCCTAAACCCTAAACAAAATTAGGTTTTAGGGTGTAGGAACCCCTAAACCCTGGCACAGCAGGCCCGCCAGACTTCTGCACAGGGCCTCGCCTTCAAAATGGCCAGGACCAGAGGCGGCTGCCCTGACGTGGACAGAAGGCAGCCAGAGACTCCAATATCCCTTAATTAAGGAATATACCTTAAATTATAGTCGGATCCCAAATATGATTTAAGGTATGTTCCTTAATTAAGGGATATTGGAGTCTCTGAGCAAGCTGCGGCAAACGGAAGGCGAGGAAACTCAAAGTGCTCGCCAAACGGGGGTGGACGATGTAGCAGGAACGGATCTACTTGGAGGATCATGGGACTTAGTAACTAGGGTTATAAATAAGGTAACTATAAATATAACCCCAATTACGGTACTTATAACCCTAGTTACTAAGTCCCATGATCCTCCAAGTAGATGTCGGAAGTTCTCACGGATGCCCCTGCTTTCAGGATGCAAGGGCATGATGAGTAAATGTCCGATAGCAGTGTAGCGAATGAGGGTTCGATGGCAAGTCCTTGAAGCACCGACGTGATCATTGAATCTTCCGGCGTTCCTTGGAGCCTACTTCCAAACACACAGAAGACCGTCCGAAGCTTCAAAGCAAACGGCCCGCATTCGTCACCCTAACTCTTTAGAACTGCGGATACCGTCCAACAGACAGAGCTCTTGTTACGGGATTTAACTTAATAATTAAGTTTAAGGAACCCATCTCATCTACTATAGTCTCCCTGTTGGGGTAACTTAAATCAATTCAGCCCTTAAAACCAGAACCCAATACAATATTGTAACTTAAACTAAATTCATCCCTTAAAACCATTAAATCCCTTAACATATTTACTATAGATCCCTATTTATGGCAACTTAAATACTAAAAATCCCTTAAAACCCAAGATCCCAACTCGGAGCTCTAACCTCTGAGACCTCCAAAGCCCGGGCCACTTGGAGGATCATGGGACCTAGTAAGTAAGGTTATAAGTACCCTAATTCGGGTTATAATTATAGTTACCTTATTTATAACCCTAGTTACTAAGCCCCATGATCCACCAAGCAAAACGGCCCCGGGCCTGAGGATCCCATGGCGAACCAAAGGAGCGGCTGCCCGTCGCGAGTGGCCTCTTTTCCGAATCGTCGGCGTTTTTTTCGCGTTTTTAGGGAGGAATAGGGCCTTCTGGGTTTAGGGTTTTTTTTTAAAGTGCAGTGGCCTTTTCGACGCGAGCAAGCCTGCCTCATTCGGTTTAGGGGTTTAGGCAGTAGGGTTTAGGGAGGGATTGCGGTTTAGGTTATCTGGGGTTGCATGAAACAGGAGGGTGGTTTGACGTGACCCTTTGACTGTTGCCGCAGTTCCGGGCTTTTGGCCCTCTTCAGGCTTGCAGATAGAGCAGGTAAAACCCTGGGCCGTAAGGGGTCCCGAAAGGATGAGACCAGGCTTCTACCGCGATGGCTGCCAGGCACGGCATTGTTATTTCAGAGCTCGTTGCAAAGCCAAGAAATCTCCGAAGCTTCTGAATTGAGTCCTTGACTTGCTCGCCTGCTCTCGCAGCGCGAAGACTTCAGGTGGCACCTCCTTCTTCAGCTTGGCGTAGAGAGGTCCGATGAAGCCTCGCAGGTGAGCTGAGGCAGGCATCCCTGAAAGCAAATAACTGGATGTTGTGGTTTTGGCTCCTTGTTGTGGTGTCTGCAATACAACTTTCACGGTTAGTTGTCGGTGAGACTTGAAGATGTTAAAATGAATTACCTATATTACTTGGGGTTCCTCATTATACTTATACTATAAAGCACCCCAAAAACCCTATTCTAATTATTAAGGCCCTATATTCGGGCGTGTCAAGGCGTGTCATGTCTGCAGCCCAGTGGCGCACTCGAGCCGGGATTTCTGACGGCCGCACCCCGGCCCAGGCCGGGATGTCGGAGATGGACGTGAAGTCGCCCTTTCCGAGGCTTCAGAGAGTTCTCAGAGACTCCAATATCCTTTAATTAAGGAATATACCCCTAATATGATTTAAGGTATATTCCTTAATTAAGGGATATTGGAGTCTCTAGGTTCCATGGTTCGGATCCTTCGGGGCCCTTAGAATCTAGAATCATCTGGTTAGGACTTCTTTCGGTGTTTCGGTGCCTTTTCAGAAGTTGGGCAGAAGGCGGAGCAGAGCTGCACTCTGCCTCCATGAGATCCATGGTGAAGTGCAGGCCCGTGATGTTCCACTCAGATGCCAGCGCCACGAAGGGCTGCATCAGAAAGGTCATGTGCTGCATGAACCTCGTTCCCAGAGAGCCCAACTTACCCCTCAAATAAGGACTATACCTTAAATTATAGGGGCCTTGATATTATAACTTAGGGTTTAGGGTTTAGGGATATATACCTTAAGTTATAGGGGCCTTAGTATTAGGATTTCGGGTATATTCCTCAATTAAGGGGTCCCTTGGGCTCTCTGGGTTGGCGCGCTTTTTGTTTTTTTTGCCGGCCTGCGCCTGAGTCTTTTTATGGTCCTGTGGGGGCCTTGTTGGGGTTGCGGATTTACAGCACGGGGCTTTTCAAGGCGGATGTTCCGCTTGTACCGCCTGAACACTGAGTCCGAAAGGAATGCCAGACTAAACACCCGAAAAGCTGAATCGGAACCCGCAGCACTTCTAGCGAGGCTGGCGAAGCCCTAGAAGACTGGACGAAGTCATACAGCAAACCAACAGCAAAAGCCTCCAGCCTAAAGCCAAAACCCTACTTGGAGGATCATGGGACTTAGTAACTAGGGTTATAAATAAGGTAACTCTAATCATAACCCCAATTATGGTACTTATAACCTTACTTACTAAGTCCCGCGATCCTCCAAAGCTCTACAAACCCTAAACCCCTAAACCCTAAACCGAGCTTGAACCCTAAAGCTCCTAAACCTTACTTACTAAGACCCATGATCCTCCAAGGAAGCTCCCGCTTTTTTGGCCCCGCAGCCAGGACCCAGCAGCTGCCAAGGCCGGGCGCAGGCCAAGGGTGGTGATGAGGCTGTCATCCTTGGGTCCCAACCAGCACCCTCCAAGTACCCTCAAATAGGGTTTAGGGTCCCAAACTAAGGGTATTTAGGGTCTAGTAGAGGGTAGACGGAGGGTCATGGGTAGTTATAACTGGGATTTTTAGTCAGGTGACTATAATTATAACCCATATTAGAGGACTTATAACCCAACTTATAACCACCCATGAACCTCCAAGCAAGAATCCTTGGGTCCCAAGACCCAGAGAGGGACCCTTTAATTAAGGAATAGACCTTAAACCATAATATTAAGGCCCCTATAATTTAAGGTATATTCCTTATTTAAGGGGTATTGGGCTTTCTGGGGAATCCACCGGTCTAGGAGTCAGCCTCCGTAACGCTTATCAAAAGATATGCTACGCGAGCTCTAGACGACCGTTGCACCTCGAACCATCGAGGCTATGGAGACCAGACCAGACTTGCATCTGTTGGTTCAGCGGTGGAGTTCGAGGTGCTGTGCTTCGCAGCTCCGTGCAACTGCTGAATGATTCAACGATTGGGGCCAGGAGGAAGCTCTCGGAATGAAAAGTTGTCACTAATTCTTTCTTAACATTGCAGAAGCATCTCGCAGTAGTCGGAACATCTTACCAAGTCTCCAGCCTTGCAGCTGAACAAGCAAAAGTACCAAGCCTTTACTTCAATCACGGCAGTGTCAGCCTGGTGGCATGTGGTACTTAGTGCAGAACTGGGAGTTTCCGAAAATTAGGGGTACCTTATTTGGGGGTCCTTATATTAAGGATCCTGCTATTTCGGGTACTATATTAGGGTCCCCTATTTTTGGAACCCCCCAACTAAGAGAACTCAACTTCTGACACCATTTGCACTCGCGTCCAGCGGCCGCGATGGAGGCGGCCAAAGCCTTGGCATCCGTGGCGAGCCCGCGGGTCATGCCTTAAGCACAGTTCGCAGATGCCGGGGTCGGAGATCCAACTCCTACACGGATCCCGTCTACGGAGAATCTCGACCCTCCATGATCCCAGGGAGCCACTGTGCATGTGTCTGTCTCACAGTTCGTGCTTACATCCGAGCTTCTACCATGGACTCCTGCACATAAGGATGTTGATGCTAATCCCGCTGCCTGCAGGAGCAATCTGACATTTCGTTTCGGAACTTGCTGCGTTAGAGTTTAGAAATATTTAGAAGTTCCAGAGTTTAGCACCTGCTCTGTAGAGCTTGTCTTCAAGCGGCTAGTGTGAGATCTAGCTTTGGTCCACGGGGATCCGAAGCTATCCCTCCATTGTTTCCGGTGCCCAAACATGCAGACGGAGTCTGCTGGGCTTGAGCGATGAGCAGGCTCGCAAGCAACTACAGGACTCGCACAAGCACGAGCGGCATCCCTCCGAGTCCCCAAGTCCGGCCACAGCCCGCACCTTCCCAGAGACTCCAATACTCCTTATAAATTAAGGAATATACCTTAAATTATAGTAGGATCCCCAATATGATCTAAGGTATATTCCTTAATTAAGGGATATTGGAGTCTCTGAGTTTGTCGACGTCGCTGTCTCGGCCAAGGCGCTCATGTCTACGAAAAGTGGGATCCGAGCAATCCGCGCGGAGAGGCCTCGGAAGCAAACGAAAGCAGATTGGAGCAGGAAGCCGACCGGAGCTACACGGCACGGTTGATGGACAAAATCCTGCAAGACCCTATATACCTAAACTATGGGATTTATGGTACTATACTATATTTGGGTCATGCAGAATTTTGTCCATCAACAGTATGGTGTGCAGCAAACCCTGATTTTCACGACTTCCACAAGGCAACCTATAGGGCCCCAAAAGAGCACGTAAGCAAAAATTAGGATCCGGATATCCCATATAAATCCTCCTATAATGAAGCCCAATAAGGTAGGGATATCCCTGTAAAAAGCTTATGCTGATGTGCTTTTTGGGTCCCTAAACCTAAGGACACCAACAGAGGCCACCCATGGAGAACCATGGCGGCTCCAAGCAGCCTACACACCCCGATCCGGTACTCTGCCCTGCGGTACTTGGCGATGCAAACTTGTACACGCCTTGCCCATATGGGAGTTTCCGAAAATAAGGGGTACCTTACTTTGGGGTCTTTATAATAAGGGTCCTACTATTTAGGGTACTATATTGGGGTCCCCTATTTTAGGAATCCCCAGATTCCCCGTCAGCATCCCTCCATCCATGGATGAAATCATGGCTGTATTTTGCCCAAAGATGTGTGTCAAGTGTGGAGTGGGTTGCTGCTTCCGCCCACTCTGGGCACCTTGCGGGCTTTCTTCGAAAATCTTGCTCCCGCCATGGCGTTGTGGGCAGATTTCCCGCCACAGCCTTGAGTTATGGCCTTCCAACCGCTGGAAGTCGAAGTCCTGGCGCGACCACAGAGGTGCAACTCGCTTTGAGCCTCTGGAAACGGTGCTTCCGCGGCACTTCCGCGCATGCTTTGGGCTCGTGTCCCAAAAATTGGGCTTCCGCCGCAGTCCCGTGCGTGACCCCGCTTTCCCGCTGCAGTGCTGTGTGTGTGCTTAGCCCGAATCTTGCTCCGGCAGCACTGTGATGTACATTTTGGACTCAGGCGGTGGGGCTTGTGGGATGCTTCTTGGCTCTGCGATGTAAGGCTTGGGCTGCCACATCTATTGGTATATCTGAGCCCTAAGCCGCCTTGCGTTTTACCGAAAAGCAGTCTCCTGGTACATGCCAGGAATAAGCCGAGAGGCTCGCGGACAGGACGAAGAAAGAGACAACCGCGGCGGGACGAACTCTCTTGTAGAGGGCCTGGAATCCAGGAGGAGTGATGTCGGCATTCAGGACGCACATCAGGGGTATTTCGGGCACAGGTTCTGAGGTCGGCAACGAAGCTCGGAAACACCCAGTTGCAGATCAGAGCCTATCTCGACTCTCCCACGTCCCAGCTGCCAGCGAGGAGTCGATCTGCTGCTGGAGGACCTGGAATCGAGTCTACTTGGAGGATCATGGGACTTCGTAAGTAAGGTTACAAGTACCCTAATTGGGGATATATTTATAGCTATTTTATTTATACCCCTAGTTACTAAGTCCCATGATCCTCCAAGTAGGACAGGCTTTCGCTTTCGCCCCCTTTGAGATAGACCCACTTGGAGGATCATGGGACTTAGTAACTAGGGTTATAAATAAGGTAACTATAATTATAACCCCAATTAGGGTACTTATAACCTTACTTACTAAGTCCCATGATCCTCCAAGCAAGCGAACAAAAGCTGAAGCCTCACGAGTCCAGGGCGAGGAGAGCGACTCGAACTGGTCGGCCGCATAGAGCAGAGCTGTCTGCGAAGAGAATTCAGGGCTAGGAGCCCCGGTGGGGTCGGGGGCGGTGCAGCTTTTCCACCGGGCCGGACTTGGGTCTTTTCACCACTTCTATCAACTGGCATTCATCCGGTGCCCCAATGATTTTACTCTCCTGGCTCCAGACATCGCTTCACAGCATGGGCTGCCGTGACCATGGTGAAACAGGCTACCTGCTTTCTAGGAACTTGCGTTCGAAGTCAACTTGCACGGATGCACGGCCAAGCCTGAGTCAAACATCCTTAAGTGCCGCGAAATTCGAGCCTGCCTGCTCCTCTGTCCACTGCGGCATGAGAGCATAATGCGGGTATCCTGTCATGCCGACTGGACATGTTCAAGTCTCCAGCCCATGCATACATGGCTGCATGCATATGCTGCATATGGTATAAGAGACATACGTGTGCATTTGCTTGTATAGGTATGCGTGCATGTATGTATGTATGTATGTATGTATGTACGTATGTACGTATGTAGGTATGTAGGTCTGTATGTATGTAGGTCTGTATCTATGTATGTATATGTATGTGTATGTGTATGTGGACACGATGTGTCTGTGTATGCATATGTATATGTAAACTGTATATGTAAGTAAGTAAGTAAGTAAGTAAGTAAGTAAGTAAGTAAGTATTCATGTATGTATGACTGTATGCCAATGTACATACGCACACATGCATGCGCATGTATGGATGGATGGATGGACGGATGGATGTATGTACGTATGTATGTAAAATGTGTATGCATTCGTCCTGACTCCTCCAGCAGTTTGATGTAAGCGCCCCCAAACGATGCCACATGTACCTTGCACATGGTCGGAGCATCATGTGCATATATGCGCGGATTGAACCGATGTGCAAGTACTTGCAGTTGACAAGACGATCGGCATTTCCACGACTAAAGGAACGTTGAGCAGGGCAGAGACTTTCCTGCTTACTTGAATGATGACCCAGAGACTCCACTATCCCCTAATTAAGGAATATACCTTAAATTATAGTAGGATCCCTCATATGATTTAAGGTATATTCCTTAATTAAGGGATATTGAAGTAAGGCACCGTTCTGTACTCAAAACAGGCGCAAGGGCCCCCCCCCCTCACGCACCTCGAAGTACGGCTTGGCGGCATCCGCCACAAGCAGTGTATGGGTCACCATGGCAGCATTGACACCTGTCTGAGACAACCCTCCAGTCGACGCTGAAAAGTCATTGCCCTCACTCAAAGGAAGAAAGCCAGGCTCCGAAACAGAAACAGGCAAGCTTGCAAAACGAGTGCCTTTGTAGCCAGCTTGTGAGTTCAAGGAGGCTTTGTCAGAAGCTACTTGGAGGATCATGGGACTCAGTAAGTAAGGTTATAAGTACCCCAAAACGGGGTTCTTATTATAGTTACCTTTTTTATAACCCTCGTTACTAAGTCCCACGATCCTCCAAGTATGCATTGAATCCCGGAGTATCGCCCCGAAACCCTGACCCTGCACACCTTCGCACAACAGCAGCAAAGTGGGCAGCCCCGACTCCTCCGCGGAGCGTCCGGGGTTCCGGGGAGTTTGGCACAGTTCACCCGGAGGCCACGCAGCCCCACCGCCCAGTCAATTCTAGCGTCAACAGCGCAAAACTCCCTCCCTGAACCCTGAACCCTAAACCCTAAGCGTTACTTGGAGGATCATGGGACTTAGTAAGTAAGGTTATAAGTACCCTAACTGGGGTTATAACTATAGTTACCTTATTTATAACCCTAGTTACTAAGTCCCATGATCCTCCAAGTAAGCGTTAGAGCTCCCAAGCTTTGCATACCGACAACTAGAGCCTTCCATCATCGAAGGTTCCGATGGATTTTGCTGGCCAAAACACCCGGCCCCGCTGTGGTTCCACGGCATAGGCGCGAGACGTGCGAATGTCCACCTCCTGGGTCACAAAATAATGTTGGTGAGGTCCACAACTTTCCGCTTAAGGACGATCCGAGTTCACAACTTGATACTGGACTGAGAAACGCAGTTCAGAAGGTAGGGGTGAGGCTTGTGGTGATTCCGGGATCACTTTAGGTGTCAGGTGCAGGGAGGGTGCGCTCGTGCTGCACTACCTGCCAGCATTCAAAAAAAGTCTTGAAAGCCAACCTTGAAACCCAGGTCTCCAGAATCAAACAAGGCCAGCGTCATGGTGTTGCACCGCCGGGGTGAAGGGATCCACCAGGTAGGTGATGGACAAAGCCAAAGAAACCTAAACTGTTGAACTGCTTCGCACATGTTTGGGATCCTATGCTTCTTGGAGGATCCTGGGACTTAGTAACTAGGGTTATAAATAAGGTAACTATCATTATAACCCCAATTAAGGTACTTATAACCTTACTTACTAAGTCCCATGATCCTCCAAGTACCCATAGGCCCCATAGTAGTTCTTTTTAGGATTACCTCACAAGATTCTAAACATGGATTCCAAAAAGGGACTACTATGGGGCCTATGGGTAAACGGAGTCCGCCGCAGGGATTCGGAGGGAGTCGAGACATCGAAGCTTTGAGGAGCGGGGATTTCAAGCTCCGCAGGTCTCTGTACGACTTAGAAAGCCAGAGAGCCTCAACTTGCCCCTTAATTAAGGAATAGACTTTAAATAAGGAATATACCTTAAAAAAGAAATATACCTTAAATAAGGAATACACCTTAAAGCATAATATTAAGGCCCCTATAATTTAAGGTCTATTCCTTATTTAAGGGGTAAGTTGGGCTCACTGGGAAACCACCTTCAAAGCGTCGAAGGTTTCGACGCTTTTTTTGGACTTTGGAAGGTCCCAAGTCGAGAGAAGATGTGAAGCCGCCAAGCAATGCTGCATCTGAAAGACCTTAAACCGCTGACACAAGACTGCAGCGAACGAGGAGCGGCGACAGCTGCTGCAAGCAGGGCGCAGCAGCACCGGCACGACAACATGGCAGACTTGGGGGAGGTTAAATCATGGCCCTGCCGGGTTCCCCGAGTCTGCGGAGGTCTCAAGTTGGATTTGCTTCGTTTCGCTTTGGTGGGGGGACGAGCTGTGGAGGTGATCCATGTCATGAAGGGGCCCTAGGATCGGAAGTTTGGGGCCGCAGCTGGGGGGACAGGCCAAGGGACGGCAGGCTATTCCGTCGTCTGACAGTGGCAAAAATAGGGTTCTACACAAGTTCGGCATATCAAGCTTTTGGACTTCTGGTGATGCTTCTGCTGTGCAGTCCAGGATAATGCAAGGATGTAGGAGCAGAAGACTAGAACCAGGACGGGAACCCCAAACTCAAAAACTCAAAACCTCAAAGTGTGTGTCAGAACATCTGATGTCATAGGGGCGTCAACTGCACCCTTGGGGTCGCTGCTCGGAACAAATTCCGACGCATGACGATTCTCGTGTGCTCGAGGAAAGTCTGAAGCCCACAGCTGGCGACGTTGATGCTTGTGAGGCTTCAGGCCAAGTCCGACCCCGCGAATAGTATACTGTGAACTTTACCCAGAGATCCCAACCTACCCCTCAAATAAGGAATATACCTTTAAGCTTTGGGACCTTTTTTCCTGATTTAAGGCTTTTTCCTTATTTAAGGGGTATTGGGCTCTCTGGGAACACCGAAGCCTCTCCAGTCTCTCCAGCCCTCCCGTGCAGCTGGCCTGACTGGACCGCTGGTCACCTCACGGCACGGGCAGCACGCACGGATGCTGGGAGCCGTTGCAGGGCTCGGCGGGCTTCTGGATGAGGCTTTGGCCGTGCATGCTACGGGGTTGGGTGTCTCTCTTCTAGAGATCTGTGCCGGTGCACGGAGATGTATGCATCCACCTTTGAGATTGCAAGCCTGCCATGCCAAAGAAGCAGGCTTTTCAAGTCTCATCCAAACAATTGAACCTCAATATCTCCGAACCGAGAGCCATGAAAGCGTGAAGTTTTCACGCGAGCGCAGCCTGGTCCGAAACGATGGACAGCGTCGCAGCCGAGCTCTGCAGCCAGCAACCTGGCACAGGCACAAAGCATCCGTGCCGGTGTGGGCCTACAGCGATAGTCGCTCTGACATTGGAGGTGCTTAGTGGAAGTTGCTGGCCCGACAGGTGGCAAAAACCGTACAGGTGCCAGGTTTGGGGCACAGCTCTGCGGAGTCTTGTCAGCATTTCCAGAGAGTTTGGAACACCTCTTCTTTGCAAAAGCTGTTCTACATGCGGCTTTAGAGATGCTGTCCGACCTCGTACGCACGGAAGTCTCCAAAAGACGCGACCAACGCGCAGCTTCGACTCCCCGCTTATAGGAATACTCATCAAAGAGGACTCAACCAAAGCGGTGCAGAAGTCTTGTGTCACATGCCCCGCCCACAGACATCACCTGAACACGGCACATGGGTGCACACGGATATCCTGCCAGCTCTCCCACGGAACAGTGACGATAATGTAGAGGCCTTTGTAATTAGAATAGGGTTTCCCTTAAGAACCCAAAACCCACTTTTTTGTAGGTTCTTATTATAAACCCTAATATGGGATTTATAAGGACCCTACTAAAAGTAGGTTTTGGGTTCTTCAGGTCGGGGTATATTGTCGATGCCGAGAAGTTGTGTTGTCCGGCCAGGCCCCTCCCGGCGCCCACCCAGTGCGGGACCTAGTAGTGCCCCCCAGCGCCCACCGCGCCCCAAGCGGCGACCCCTCGCGGCCCTCGAGCTTAAGGGCCCAGCAGCCCCACCGGCCCACCTTTAAGGGCCCACCAGCCCCACCGGCACACCTTTCTGTTTCCCGTCGGCACCACACCCCTGTCAATTTGGAGACGTGAGCATGATGTTGCAGCCCGCCCGACTGCAAACATGCCATCAACTAGTCTAGGCAAACGGTGCGCAAGCTCATCGTACAGCCAGCCGTGATCGTAAGGACAGCAGAGACACGCCACCCGGAGCTGTCAATGCTGCGGCAGCACAAGGGCCGCTTAAGGCTCTGACATCCATGTACATGATTTAGACACACCAGTAGTTCCACCTATAAGCGCTTTAATTGCGCTATGTTGAGTTGTATAGCAGCTCAAACCCCACCTGATAGTGCTTGAACGGACCTTGATCCGCAAACTGAAGAGCTCTGAAAACCCGCACCCTGCAGCCCTGCCTTTGGAGTTGTTGAACCTCGCCAAACAGGCCCAGAGAGCCCAGATCATAATAATAAGGCCCCTATAATTTAAGGATATTTAAGGTATACTGCTTATTTAAGGGGTATTGGGCTCTCTGGGCAGGTTTGCTTGACGATTGGCATTCAGGTCGCTGCGTGCATTTGGGATCGGTCTAGGGCGTGGTGCTGGGGGACTTCGCTTTGAGAAAGGGGAATACTTGGAGGATCATGAGACTTAGTAAGTAAGGTTATAAGTACCCTAATTGGGGTTATATTATAGTTACCTTTTTTATAACCCTAGTTACTAAGTCCCATGATCCTCCAAGTAAAGGCTCAGAGAAGGTTGGAGATGGAGCTTGAGATCAAAGGCTTTGGCATGCATGAGCCAGGCTTCCGGGGCTAAACGTCTCCGCACAGTGCTAGACGAGACGGTCTGCACAGAGACGCGACTTATCGACGCACTGCCAGGACGGATTTTCCTAGAACTCTGGGTCTCGGGGTCCCATAAACTGACCTGGACGCCAAGACTTCTCTGCAGCTGAGGGGCCACGTGAAAAATGCGCAGATCTCCGTGCGCTTGCATTCTTCCTTCCAGTGTGCACAAAAGTTTCGTCAGTTGCCTCGAAACCTGCAATCCTCTCTCGGTTCTCCTGCTGACTGAAGCGAGGAAGACCCTAGAAACTCAACCCACCTCAGAGGGCTTAGCTCGTCTTCCGGGCTGAGGATGTGCTATCGAAGGCTGTCCTGACATAGCTGCGCGGTCTCTGTCTCCAGACGCATCGCCTGGCCCCTGGGCTCGTGGAAGAGTCGCTGCAAGCCCAGCCCCAGCGGTGCAACCCGAATCCTGCGGCTACGGTCCTGCACTCCGATGAAGCGAGGCATCCTACGACCCGACACACCGACGGGGAGACTCTGCGTATCTTCGTGTTCTCTGTCACTCCCGTCGAACACATGACAACCAAGAACGCCTGAGGCCTGTAAACTCGCTCCGAACTGGCACAATGGGCCACAATCTCTGTTCGATGACGTTCTCATCTTTAGGTGCTTCTGATTTCACTTTGCTGCCTATGGCGCCATAAAACTCCCAATGACGAGGTTTCTGCTGATTGTGGCAAGAACCACTGCTGGAGTCAAGGCACGTGGTCTGGTTGTAACCTGCGCACAGCACCGGGGCTGAACAGGGACATATTGACATCCAGTGCACATTCCCGACTTCTGATATAGGGGCCTTAATAATTCGAACAGGGCTTTGGGGTACATTCTACTATAATCATAATAAGGAACCCCCCCATACTAGTATAGGTAATTATTCAGGCCCCTACTTGGAGGATCATGGGACTTAGTAACTAGGGTTATAAATAAGGCAACTATAATCATAACCCCAATGAGGGTACTTATAACCTTACTTACTAAGTCCCATGATTTTCCAAGGCCCTAAAAACCCTAAACCCTAGGGTGTGCTATAATCATAATAAGGAACCCCCAAACTAGTATAGGTAATTATTCAGGCCCCTATTTGGAGGATCATGGGACTTAGTAAGTAAGGTTACAAGTGCCCTAATTGGGGTTATAGTTATAGTTACCTTATTTATAACCCTAGTTACTAAGTCCCATGATCCTCCAAGTAGGCCCTAAAATCCTAAACCAAACCCTAAACCCTTAAACCCTAAACCTTACTTACTAAGTCCCATGATCCTCAATAGCCCTTATTCAGGCCCCTATAATTCTAGTGAGTCCGAAGGGGGGTTTACCGGGCAGCTCTGCGTGGCTCCCGGGCCTTGTCCATGGAGGAAGCAATCGGGAACCTCTGCAGCCCTGGCGGATGCCTGGCTCGCTTCGGTTTCGGGTTTAGGGTTTAGGGTTTAGGTGCTGCTCTTCGAACCATAAGGGAGTTTTTTCGAAAAATGAGGTGTACCTTATTTTGGGGGTCCTTATAAAAGGATCCTACTATTTAGGGTACTATATAAGGTTCCCGAAAAACCAGGTGTACTGTATTTTTGGGGTCCTTGTAATAAGGATCCTGCTATTTAGGGTACTCTATTTTCGGAAAATCCCACAAGGATTCTGGAGCTGGACATACCAGATGACGCCCCCTCACAGCATCGTTGCAGGGACTCGATCCACATACACAGTCTTGAAGCCATGCAGTCAGATTCCACGACCACGACGAACACTTGCTTTGGGACAGCGACTGTCAAGTAAAACTAGTTGCAAAGGGGGGGACAACACTATGTCCCAAACACTCAATCCTGAGCAACGGAGACACAAACACAACCAAACGGTTTAGGGTTTAGGGTTAAACCCTAAACCCATAACCCCTAAACTCTATGTACCCCTGCTCAGCCGGACCTCGTGGCATGCTCGTCCCAGCTCTGCAAAACGTGGCTTCTAGTTTCGCTTCGTAACTTACTCGGATCCAGACATGAGAACCGAAACGTCAAACGACAACATCTCCGGCATTCTGTCGACCAAAAGATCTGGGCAAAAGCACCAATTCAACAACGAATCCTGAACACCGCCTGAAGACGGTCGCTTGACACCCGACAAATTCGGAAGTCCAGTGCAACACATCTCACATCTTTTCTCCCGCTGCAAGACGTCGACGAGCATGCCCATCGCAAGCACCTTGCGGCAAACAAAAAGTTTGGTCTGGGTTGACATGAAAGAAGGCAGTAAAGCCCTGTAGTATAATTAGCCGTCTGTCGCATGATTCTGAGCTAACTGCCTTGAACTTGAAATTGTGCTGTCTCAGGCCGTGAAGACTATGAAACAATACTTTGCCCGTGCTGCGCCTCAGATTTGTCCAGCACCGGCAGCACGTCGTCCGGAAGCGAAGCGACCTCCCAACACTCCCCCTACCAACCTTTCAACGGCAGGACCTGCACTGCGGGTTCTCTTTGTACGAGTCGCATGGAATCTGAACCAGCTCACCATATCCATCCTGTCTTGAAACCAGTGAACCCGAAATCTGTACTCCAACCTCGCATGCTGACGTTGCGGCCGCCAATGTGAGCACCTCGTGTCCAAAGTGGGCTTGGATGCCATATGACGGGTGCGTGCACTCGAGGTGCGGAACGCTCGAGCTCCAGAAAGGCTAAGCGCTTCACCCCGGAACTCTTGAACCACATACATATACACATACCCATACAGACATGCACACACTCTTCACATACACACACACACACATGTTCCTACACATACACCTGTACATGCATCTACATATACACATGCACATGGACATATACATGTGCATATGCAGGCATATACATACACATATACATATACTTACACCCGTGCATGCATACGTACGTACATGCATAGGTACATACATCCGTGTACATTACATTACATTACATTACATTACATTACATTACATTACATTACATTACATTACACTACATTACATTACATTACATTACATTACATTGCATTACATTGCATTACATTACATTACACTACATTACATTACATTACATTGCNNNCATTGCATTGCATTGCATTGCATGGCATCACATTACGTCTCACACACACATTACATTGCATTGCATTATGTACACACACACATATATATATATATATATGTATATATATATATAATATATATATATATATATACGTACACACATACACATACATACATACATACATACGTACATACACACATACATACATACATACATACATACATACATACATACATACATATGCAACTGTTTACATATGTATGTAACATAATATGCATGCAGACATGTATGTATGCATGAATGTATGTATACATAGGTTGCACCCAGGCGGTCCCCCCCGCCCCGCCCCCTACCACCTAGAACTCATCTAGCACATATTCATCTATCTCGGTAGTTTCCGTCTGTTTTTCGCTTACTTGCTTGTGTTTTCTAGTCTCGTAAACCTCCACCCGTTTATCCACAAACGAGAGACAGAGAGGGAAAGAGAGCGATAGAGGGAGAGAGAGAGAGAGAGACAGAGAGAACGAGAGAGAGAGAGAGAGAGAGAGAGGGAGAGAGAGAGAGAGAGGGGGGAGGGAGAGGGGGCGAGGGAGAGAGGGAGAGGGAGAGAGAGAGAGAGACAGAGAGACTGCCCCAAAGGGTCCAAAGTACCTAGTTTAGGAATCCTTAGGAATCCTTGTCATGATTTGGGACAGTATTCCCCCAGAACAGCACCTAGGACGCTTTGGGAGAGACTTCTTGAAACCGCTCAACCCGAAACCCTTAAACCCGAAACCCGAAACCCTTAAATCCGAAGCCCCACACCCGAAACCCTTGAACCCGAAACCCTAAACCCGAAACCCCCGAAACCCTAAACCCGAACCCTAAACCCGAACTTCGAGATTTCGGGGTTTTCGCGGGTGCGAGGATGGAGCGGATCTCGAGGGTTCACCGAGAGAAGAAGCGATGTTTAGGTGGGGGTTAGGGCCTAGGGGGGCTTTGAGGGGGTTAGGGCTCAGTTGGGGGTGTTGGGTTCAGGGGTAGGGTTCAAGACTTGGGCAGGTATGCCGTGAATCACATTGTTCGATTTGTTGAGGCCGTTTCGCAAGAACAATCCGCAGATGTCCTTCAGGGTCCAAGTACCCCTATAGTATCTGCTTAGCTTTGAGCCTAAAGTACCTAGCCACAAAGAAACCGCTACAATGCCAGAGCATATACCCGAATTGACAAGTATACTCATTACCACAAGCACATGAGCCTTTCTCGTGTCTTCCAGCAATGTCACCCTAAGCCCTTAACATTAAACCCTAATCCCTTCCTAAACCTTTCTCGCATCTTCCAGGTATGTCATCAATGATACGATCACGGTTGGCAACCTCGAGGCCCTGGGACTCGCAAGTGGTTCCAGAGTTGAGCGCTTTGGGTTTGGGGACCAGTACCAAAAATAGTACTCTAGGGTTCCTTAATACAGTTATTCTACGATGTGCCGCAACACACAATTTCATTACTAAGGCTCTTATAATGCGCTTGAGCGGTTGGGGGTGTGCAAGTATTGCCAGGGTCGAGATGCTAGTTTGGCTGTAGTTTAGTTCTTTTTTCAGAATGCTCGGTTCTACGTTTGCTCTGGGCTTTTGGAGGCCCTAAACCCTAGATACCCTAAACCCAAAATGCTAATTTGATTGAGGGCCTTCTAGGGTGCATTCATTGATGCTTGAAAACTCCGGAGACCCGCAGTCCTCGTTTTGATCTGGGTAGGTTTCTGGAGTTAGGGTCCCTTTTTAGGGTTCCTTCCACAAGAGTGCCGTACTATTTGGGGGACCGAAAACGGGGCCTTAATTGAGAGAACTACCCATATATCAATTCCCGAACTGGGCCCTGGGCCCTACTACTGGGAGGATTGCCTCATTCGGGGTGCTTGGGCTGAGGGTTTAGGGTTCAGTGTTGCTTGGCGTTTGATGATTTCGACATCGATGAAAAACGCTGGTCCTGCTAACACGGCATATAGACGCTGTGATCCGAGTGACTGGGTCCGAAGCAACAGGCAACAGCAACAGCAGCCCTAAACCCTAAACTAAAGAGTCCTGCATTCCTGTGCTTGGCAGCTCAAGTTAGTTTGAGTAACAGCAGAGGGTTGAATGCTGTTGGACGTGCTGCTCGGCACGTTAGTTCAGTCACATCGGCGGCCTTGTAGGTGCGAGGTCTTTTAAGGGGTTTAGGGGTTTAGGGCTGTTTAGGGGTTGGAGTTTGGGGTCTAGGGTTTAGTGTTTAGGGTGTAGGGGTATTAGGCTGTTGAGGTTTAGGTTTCAGGTTTAGGGTGTCGAAAACAACATTGGCAGATGGTAGATCAAGCGATAGCTGGACCTTAGGCCAGCCAGATAGACTTGTTTGTAAGGGTCCCTTTGTGGGGGCCATTAGGGGCTCCTTCAATGGATCTATAAGCTCTCTAGGGTTTCTATAAGGGTACTATAAGGGTAGTTCTCGAAACTGGGGGTCCCTATTTATGTCACCCATGCAAAGTACGGCACCCTTGCAAAAATGACCCTGAAAGGGATCCCAAGTTAGAGAACGACCCATGTGAGCACTTCGTTCATGGGCATGTATATGTGTATACACACAACGCGTTCATTACTCTCAGCAAACTGATTGCAATGGATTGCAGAGTTGTTGTACAATAACATAACAACTTTCACTCCCCATGTATATGTGTGGAGATATATATATATATATATATATGTTATACGTGGATAGTACATGTTCGTAGCGCAATTCGAAGCCATTTCGGAACAGCATGCTTTCAGCGCGGCCGGAACGAAGGGCATATTTCTTGCATGACAGATTTGCTTGTCTTTGTCATCGCATGTGATGCAGCATCGTCTACAGCAGAACGCAGCAAGCATCTAGACTCTTTCGGGAACACCACGCCGCGCAAACACCGTGTTCTCAAATTCTACCCTAAACCCTAAACCCTGTCAATTGTCTGCACAAAGTTACAGGTGATTTGCAGTTCCTCTCGGTTCGAGTTGAGCAAGGTAGCGTGCGTAGATGTCTGCAGACGCGCTGATTTCATGCTGCAACTAATACTGGCACAGGGGTGTGTGTTGGCTGCAGCCACATGCTCGTTAGGGGAAATCAACGGTTCGCTAGCTTGCTGCCTCTGGTGTATCCGATATCCGATATCTGCTGCTTGAAATTTCATGGGAAAGATGGTCCGGGCCTCAGGCGTGCGTGTCTGGTTGCTTCCTTCTTTCGTCGCTCTCGTTCTCTCTTTTTTCCGCCTCCGTCTCCTCTCACCCTCACTCTCTGTTTACTTTGTTTCGTTTTGTCGCAGCGGACGACTTCGATGTTGAATGGTTACGGAAGAGAAGCACTGTTAAGGGACTTCGGTTTAGTTACCATAGTAGGGATCTATAGTGGATGATAAATAGCATGCTTTCCTCATATTCGTATCATTAATACAAAACCTTCTCAGGGACCCAGAACAGAGCCAAAGCTTGCGCAGCCTTAGACACGGAACTCGTAACAATCGACAAGCAGAGGCCTAAGAGTCTGGAGCCTATCGGACTATGGGGTTTGCGGTTTTAGGGTTCAGGGTTTAGGGTTTTTGGAGTTTCTGAGTTAGTTTCGGGTTTGTATGGCTTTGGGACTGGTAGATCTCGAGCCATAATTTCAAAGCCCAGCAGTCTCAGACATATACAGGTGTTCCTTTTAAGGCCACCGCCGCGGCTAACGGCTGCAGAAACCATGCCAAGAGGACTTGGCACCAACCTTCTTTGTCGCAAATTCAGCTTCAATGCTTGCACAGCTTCTTCCGTTTAGCAGTTGTGCTGTTCATTATCGTAAGCATTAGTTGCTTCTGAGGGATCTATGTTATTTTGTAACACCACGGCGGTTTGGGCAGACCAAGCCGGAGCTGAGAAACCTGCACTTTTGTTGACCTTGTGCCATCCTCAACTTGGCGACTTCAAGGCTTCAGGGACTTTGGGTTTAGGGCTTAGGGGTTCTAGGGTTTAGGGCTTGAAGGGTTTAGGGTTTAGGGGTTTTAGGGTTTAGGGTTTGGGGTGAACGGTTCAGGGGCTCGGGGTGCGGGTGTTGAGGGTACGGCGGCCTTGGGTTTCTGAGCATCGCGAAACACGAAGTACTACAGAAGCCCTGGCCTCTTAGACGATGCCAGTTTTGGGGTTTAGGGTCTAGGGTTTAGGGCATGCTTAAGCCCGAAAGAAACCTGCCTGCAGCAGCCAAGTCACCACAGAACAATGAACATCCGTCTGGTCTGTTGTGTTGTGTTGGGCGGATTTCTCATGTTGAAGGTATCCTGTGTGTCCATGCAACCACGTATCATGTACCTACATCGGACATACTATCTACTTCATGTCAAAATATATACCAGGGATACAGCTCCCCCAAGCCTACGACCCTAAACCCAAATCCCGAAACCCTATAAACCCTAAACCCTACATGCACCGAGGCTCCACAAACTGAGCGCAATGCCCTCACGTCGGAAGGCTACTACGACCCGGCCAGGATCGAGGCAGAGGGTTTCAGGTTTTAGGGATGAAGGCCAAGAAACCCCAAA